GCTGTCCCAGAGAAGAGGGGCTTGACTGATTCTCCAAGGCTCCCGGGAATAGGACAAGAAGTAATGGGCAGAAGATGATCAAAGATCCAGCCAAGAACTAAGGACAAATTTCCTGACAGTGACAGTGAAAACAGGCAGTGGAATGGCTGGCTCCATCACGGAAGACTTTCCAGAGGAGACTGGACAACCATTTGCCCAGGATGGGATAAGGTCTCCTGCCTTAGAGGCAGGGGGTTGGACTAGAAGACCTCCGAGGTTCCTTCCAGTCTAGGATTTTATGTTCTGATGCAGCTTGGATGCTGCAAGTGCTCCTGAACCGGGGGTGGGGGGGGGAGTTGGGGGGGAGGATAGCCTGCAGAATACAGCCCAAACCTTAAATGTCAGCATGCGAGCGTCTCCCCTCAGCAACCAGTGAGATACTGAAAGGCTTTACTCTTTGGGAGAGCCTATAAATCCTGCTCTGACACACACAAGGTTGAATTATTCCCAGCTCTGTTCAACTGAACTGCCAGGACTGGAGATTCTGCGCAAAAGTTTCCTGTTGCCCTTCAGTTCTCGACCCCAACCCTAACCCCAAGGGTTGCTGTTGGGAAAGATGGGTGAAGGGAACCACTGCCTTGAGCTCCTGGAAGGAAGGCGGCATACGAATCTAACAAAGAAGATATCAAATGTTTCAGTCATTTCTTTGCTATTCGCCAGAAGAGCAGCTCGAAATCTTAACTGCAGCGCTTCTGACAGCTGGAGAGCAAAAGAGGGGCTTCTGGAGATGTGCTTTATTAGGCAAAAAATACTACCCTGGTTTTTAACAGGGAAAAATCCAAGGAAGGACAACCCCTGGTAAGGAACTGGGAAATCCTGAGCGGTACCTGCTGACCTTCCCAAAATACTCTGGCCAGCAGGTAAGGCAGGATTCACCTTTGTGAAACTCCTGCTGCTGTTCATCAGGTGGACTGATTGTGTTTTTCTTTGGCCTAAAACAGGGACTGAGCTGACTGGCTTTTTGGGGTCCCTTTTTAAAAATGGCGATGTGGCTATTTGGCCCCGCCCGTTCGGCCCAGCTGGGTTTCCCATTCACAAGACTAGGGAAGCCTACAGCCGACAGGGTGACCTGCAATCTTCAACCCCTCCCCATCCCTCTGAAACTCAGCAGCCAGCGATAGAGAAAGGAGCACTTTCCTACTGATGTTCAGAAAAATTGAGGCAGGAGGAAGAACAAAAACAAAATAAATTTTAAAAAGGCAGCTCCACCACCCCTGCCCATCTGCTCCAGCCCAAGCCTGCTCTCGCACCTTGGACCAAAGAATGGGGAACCAGCTCAGTGCAGCCTGGAGCTCCCTGCCAACACTATTCCTGAGGTGCCGCCTCTTTCCTCCAGTGATTTGCGGCCTTGAGTGTAGGGAGGGAGGGAGGGGTGGCTGTTTCCCTGATTGGGAAGCTGGCTCCTTTCCTCTGCTTTTAGCCAGACCTTCCTGGTCCCCTCCTCCTTCAATGGGGCTCATCCACTCCCTGCTGGGCAGAGTCCAAGGGAGCATGGGCAGCTCCTCTGCCCAAAGACCTTCCAGGCAGGCCCTTTGCCAAAATCCCGATGGGAGAAGGGCAGGCTCCCAGGGGTGCCCTTTTTCTGAAATCCAAAACAAAACTGACCCAGGTGTTTTTAGGTACAATTCAAAAGGATTCCAGGCGTTGTATTAACTACTGACCTGTAGGGGGCACCACACCACCAGTTTCACCCTTACTGGGACTCTTTGTGCCCAGAAGCAGCTTCTGGTCCCCTTGATCTGCCTAGGCCCAGGTGCGAGGAGCCTCTGACAGGCCAGCAGCTAAGGTTAACTCCTAAAACTCTACAAGCTCGAGACCAATAAAAACCACAAGGTTTGCTGGCATGCAGGTGCACAGAAAAAAGGAGAGGGGACCTGCAGAGCACCTATTGGAGTCTAGGTTATTTGTTCAGTTGGCTAGTTAAAACACTTCTAAATGTTTTAGTTGTAATTTATTTTTCATTGACAACAATTCTGCACACCACACTAGAATCCTTAGGAAAAAAACAATGAAGCTGAAAAGATCTGGCAGAGCAGAGCGCTGGAGCCCCACAGGCTGGGTGATGCATTCAGGGACCCTGGCCAGGCAACCCCCTCAGCCCCTGCTACTGGAAGGAGAGCTCCCCCCTCCCTCCCAGCTGCATCCCAGGCAAGGGCAGGGAGGGGTCTTGGAACAGCCGCCAGTGGCTCACAAAGGAGCCCTCAATGGGAGGGGGCGGGGGGTTTTCTTATCCGCTGACATATGGAATAGTCATTGTGGGAGGAAGCAAACAAGCGCCCCAAACTGCTTCCTCCCCACGTGGCCTTGACAGCCTCTCCAGCTCCTGGCCATTCATCTCCAGCGACTGAAGGGGGGGGGCTTGCTCAGCCCATTTGGGGCAGGGGAAGAAAAGGCCGCAGCCCCTCCGCCCATGCTCCACCTGACGTACCTGCCCAGCTTTCCCCAGCTGGGACAGGGGCACAAGGAGAAGGGCCAAGAGGCTGTACAGGAAGCCCATTCGTCTTGCTGGGTCTCTTCCCAGAACATGCAACGGGAGCCGACTTGGGCAGGTGCCAGGCAGAGCGCCAGGGCTGCCAACAGAGCAGAGCTCAGGGGCAGGAAGTTTAGTCTGCACTGCTGAGTGTTGTCAAGTGCTTCCAAAGCCCCCCAGGTGGGAGGGGAGAGGAGGGGAGGGAGGCGGGTGGAAGTGGCAGGAACTGAGCAAGGGCCCCAGGAAGTGGGGCTGCCTCACACCAGAGTCAGGCTCAGAAAGTCCCATGTGACACAACGCAGACCCCTTCACGTCTCTCTACTTGCCTCCCATTTTTAAGGTGTGGCCAGAGAGGCCAGGTGAGCAAAGGATCTGGGAGATCGCTCGTACATCGAACAGCAATACGGTTGGCTTCTTGGAGGACAGGAAGATCTTGTAACCACACTGGAGCCCCCCCCTCTCCACACTGGGGTGTCCACAGAACTCTGTCTTTTCGAACCCTGAGGCCTAAGCATGCTTTTGCATTATGTCCCATCTCATACCTATGTGAATACAGCCTGAAAGCCCAAAGGGGGCAGCTGCCTGGCACTAGGGGACCTGCCCTGTCTCACAGACAGCAGGGGAAGGAGCCGCTACCCCTCCCCTCCAATTCCCAGAGCAGTATCCAGCCACAGGGACCCTTGCCAGGCCCCCTTGCTGCTCCCTGGGCTGATAACGCTTGTCAGCCCAGCTGGGCAAACCATCATGCAGCTGGACAGGCTCGCCTTGGGAGGGAGGGAGGGAGGGAGGGAGGGAGGGAGAGAGACCAAGCTGCAAAGCTGGAAGGGCTTCGTTTTCTAAACCCATGACTTCATTGCAAAGCACCGCTGTCTGCGACTGCATCTGGAAACTGGTCGAGGCAGCTGCATGGGCACAGCAAGTACGGGCACTGGTGATGGGGGTGAGTGGGTGGAGCGGAATCCCCCAGGGGCCAGAGGGGGCAAAGCACAAGAGAGGGCAAGGGTGGCGACTTCTCTTTCTCTTTGCTTCACAGAACCATTTCTCACCAAATTGCAAAGTGCTCTGCGCTTCTCCGCTAGCCCCCCCCCTTTTCTTCCTGCCCCATTTCTAATCACCCCCTCAATCAATTAAAGGGCTCTGTCCTGCCCCTTCCGGCGATGACACCACATCCCTGGAGGGTCTCTTGCAACTTGAGAGCCAATGAGGAATGCGGCTGGCAGCCCCTCCAAGACTGCTGTTTATTCCCGTGGGACGCAGGCACTGCCAGGGCTGCAGCTTTACAAGCAATTTTATAGGTAAGCCTAGTGGTGACCTCGGACACCAGGGACACAATGCAGCCAGAAGCACAGAGTGCTAAGAATACATCCTGGACACAGGGAGCAGAAGCAGCGTCAGGCTCTGCTGGGAGACCGATAAATGCAATTCCAGAAAAGTGGGCAGGCCGGTGAGCAGGAACAAACCCACCGGAAGCCGCTCGGATGTCAACCGGTTTTGAACCGTCTCCTTCCTCCTCCCCACCGTTGGGGCCCTGAAAGAGGACCGACTGCGAAGGAGAGACCTTGGATTCCAACATGAAAGCGCTGTAAACTTGGGTTATGCTCAAGACATTTATGCGCGCACACATTTGGTAGGCCCATATATTTCATGACGCTCTCAACCTCTATTCCAGACTAATCGCTTCCACATCTTGGTTTCTGCTGGGTCAAAAGGGCGAGATTTGTGCCATCAAGGCAGTGTTAACTCTCAGCAACCGTAGACATAGATTTTTCTCCTTGGTCCTTCAGGCCTTCCAATGATGATCCCATGGCCAATCTAAGTGAGTCCCTGCCTCAGTCATTAAGTGAATCACTGCAGTTAAGTTAGAAACCTGGTTGCTAAGTGAATCCAGCTTCCCCATTGACTTTGCTTGTTAGGAGGTCACAAAAGGGGATGACGTGACCCCGGGGCACTGCCACCGTCATAAAAATGAGTCAGTTGCCAAGGGTCTGAATTTTGATCATGTGACCACGGGGATTGCTGCAATGATCCTTAGTATTAAAAACAGTCATAAGTCACTTTTTCCAGTGCTGTTGTAACTTTGAACAATCGCTAAACGAACTGTTCTAAGTCAAGGACTACTGCAGAGGTCTCACTCTTGTCACTGTAACAATGGCACCCTTCACTCCCAATCCCCACAACTCATCCAGGACACCATAATGGACAGTTTGAAAGCCACTGGGAGGTCAGAGACAACAAGGAGAGACTCCCATTCTGACTGCCTCTCTGCTGGATCACAGCCTGAAATGGCTCCAGGGAATCCATTTCCCCCAACCATCCCTGGAAAGCAAAGGCTCGCTGCCCGGCATCACTGGATCCAATGAAGGGCAATGCTACCAGCCCTTATTCTCACCCTGCAGCAGACTGTTGACAGAGTGGCCTGGACTCACTTCGGACCACGCAGCCAGAGAAGCCATCGCTGCTTGACCACAACAAGGAGCTGAGACAATCTTACCTCCTCATCGGAGCTGTCTTCCTCGTACTCATTCTGCAAGGGAGGTTCTTGTTGATCTGTTGTTGTACTCCTGATTTTAGGACACGACTCTGTTGCTTCTCCAGCCTACAAAACAGGACGACAGGAACAGTTATGCAAAGGCAGCGAGGGCTGCAGCAGACATGCGTGGAGACCATGGCAGGCTCTGGGGAAGAGCCAGAAGCAACGCAAGGGAGGAATCCCTCAGGGACGATGATACGCCTTAAACACCGCTTCAGCACCCGTCACGGCACACCTTCCACCAGGCCCTGGTGCCTGCTCCAACTACAACCGCCCACAGTCAGTGGAAGGCCAGACAGTGGAAAAGCACATAGTGCCAAACCTCTGCCCTAATCCCTTAGACAATTGCCGTAACAGAGAAAGTCAGCTTGCAGGGTTCCCTCTGCCATCAGCCACCAAAGCAAGTGAAAGAAGCAGCAAGGCAGAATTTGGGGAGGCAGAGAAATTACACTGTTGTCTGCGTTAGTGTCATGACAGCCACATTCCGTGAAGCAAAAACTAAGAAGTTATATAAACTTTGCTGGAGGGAGTCGAAAAACTACTCATTTTTTTCCATCTAATTTGTTTCCTGGCGACAGGGATCCACCAATAGACATACATAAGTGAACACATTCTTCACTTTTGCTAAGATTTTAAGGGGGCTTCAGGGGATTCCCTCAGATCCACACAGTTGCAAGTGCATAATGGCCTGTGTCCACCCTGACCCATTTTCCTTCTCCCTCAGAGTGGAGCTATTGCTTAAACCAGCTGGGGTTTCCCTAAGTGCTCTCCTCCCCAAAGAAGTTAATTAAGACCCTGACATTGGCAAATCCCTAATCAATTTCACCCTAAAGACTTTTTTTTTGGCTCCTAAGAAGCCTGAGCACTAAAGGCAAAAGCAAATAGCTGGCACTGAGGCGTTCCTTTCAATGCATATGCCACACTGTCTGTCTGCTTACTCTCTTGAAATCTCTTTCACTCCAATGCCATAAATATAAACATGACTATCCCAGAACAGAGGTGAGGATTCCAAAGAGCAAGGAGTAAGGAAAAAGGGCTATAGGCCAGCTTTTTTGTGAATCAAGCTCCCCACTGCTTGGGTTCAGCCAGCTTTTTGGGGTTGTATCCTTCTGATGCTGAAAGTATTCAGGGGTGATTTAATAAAAACCTTTTCCCAAGAGTTTATTCTGGAATCTCCCTTAGTCTCTGAAAACTCAAAACTAAAGGTTGACATACAGACGAACAAAAACACATAACTGTTCTTTGAAGGCAATGCCACCAATACACTCCGGTAGAGAGATGTTCCCTGAGGATGGGCTCCAGCATGAGTCGAAAGCTCAGAAGGCTGAGTAAAAGCAGTAGCCAAACTATCTGACATCTATGATATTATGGAACAGTACTTTAAAAAAAGGGGGTTCTCCCTTTTTGTCCAGAAAATTTTAGCCACAATTCATTGCTACTTTTCTCTCCAGAGACAAGTACAGGTAGTCCTTGACTTACGACCACAATTTATTTTATTTATTTTATTTTATTTTATTTTATTTCTATACCGCCCTACTCCCGAAGGACTCAGGGCGGTGCACAGCCAAACAATAAAATACATACATACAAAATTTAAAAGTGGAATTAAAATCAAATTAAATAGTTTTGGCCCAGACAAATTAAAACTCCAATCAATTTAAAACCTATTTTAAAATTTGAATACATAAAATACTAAAAAATTAAAAATATTTTATAAAAGAGGGAGAAAGTTAGGCCAGGCCCGCCTGGTGAAATAAAAAGGACTTTAAGGCGCGGCGGAAGGTGCACAGATCCGGGATCCTCCGTATCTCCGGGGGGAGCTTGTTCCAGATAGTTGGTGCCCCCACAGAGAAGGCTCTCCCCTTGGGGGCCGCCAGTCGGCATTGTTTGGCCGACGGCACCCGGAGGAGCCCCTCTCTATGGGAGCGTACCGGCCAGTGGGAGGCTATTGGTGGTAGTAGGCGGTCCCGCAAGTACCCAGGTCCTGAGCCATGGAGCGCTTTAAAGGTGGTAACCAAAACCTTGAGGCGCACCCGGAAGACCACCGGGAGCCAGTGCAGCTCGTGCAGGAGGGGTGTTACATGGGAACGCCATGTCGCTCCCATTACCACCCGCGCGGCCGCACTCTGCGCCAGTTGGAGCCTCCGGGTGCTCCTCAAGGGGAGCCCCATGTAGAGAGTGTTACAATAGTCCAGGCAGAAGGTGACGAGGGCATGAGTGACTGTGCGTAAGGAGTCCCGATCCAGAAAATTGAGCCCAACATTTATGTTGCTAAGCAAGTGAATTCTGCCCCATTTTACAATCTTTCTTGCCACATTTGTTAAGTGAATCACTGCAGTTGTAAAGTGAATCTGACTTCCTTAGTGACTTTGCTTGTCAAAAGATCTCAAAAGGTGATCACATAACAAAATAACAGAGTTGGAAGGGACCTTGGAGGTCTTCTAGTCCAACCCCCTGCACAAGCATGATCCTGGGACACTGCAACCATCATGAATATGATGGCAGTTGACAAGCATCTGATTTTTGATCACATGACCATGGGGAATGCTGCAACAGTCACTTTTTTCAATGCTGTTGTAACTTTGAACAGTCACTAAATGAACTGTTGTAAGTTGAGGACTCAGAAAAAACTGAGGAGGGGTCCCTTTAGCACCAAGGAGCAGCTGCCACACACTTGTCTCGGGCGAACCTATGAAGCCAGACAAGCCTGCCGCATGTGCTCTCCCTGCTGCAGCCGAGCCCTTTCCAGCTGCTGGCCAAGGCAGCCCAGGGGTTCTCTCTGCTGGAAGAATCCATCATCGTGAAAGACGGGGGAGAAAGAAAGAAAGAGCAAGCGAGCTCCTCTCTTCCCGTCAGCCCTCCCAGGTAAGCCAGACAGGAAACAGGACCAGATGAGCTAATTCTACTTGACTCTGAGGCTACATTAACAGCATCGTGCAAGTCTGAAAATGCGGATCTCCCGCTGTTGGAGTCTGATACATTAGAGAGGATCCTTTTTAAGTTTCTTCCTTGGTCTCTTAAGCAGCTGTGGACTCCTCTGCCTTTTATCTGATCTTCCCCCAGGCAGCGTCTCTTCCCTCCTCCCTCAAGGTCTTTCCCCCAGACCATTATCTTTCCCCACAATAGTTGAACCTGGGCCACCCAAAGACATAAATGTTTCTCATTGTAGACAATGCAAAAGGGGAGTCAATGCTAGTCTATTGGGGGTGGGGATGGGTGAGAGAAATCGGAAGGAAAGGCAAGAATGGATGGATGCACATTTGATATCAAGACTCTAAACCAGGAGCGTCCAACTGTGGCAACTTTAAGGCCTGTGGGCTTCAACTCCCAAAGCTGGCTGGGGAATTCCACAGGTCTTAATGTTGGACACTTTGCCCTAAACAAAGGCAAATTAATATCAGAACATTTCAGCCTCCCACAAGTTTCCATGACTGGAAAGGCCCCACAACTGAGGGAGGGAATGCTGAACTTGCAGGACTTCAACAAACACAAAAGGTTTTTTGCACATCACAATGGCTAATCAATCATGTACTGGTAAACTGTCTCCCATGCCAACTGCAAAATCACCCCGATTTCTCCTCCCTGCAATCCAAATTTAAATCCTCCATCCGTCTAGCCACAGCCTGTGTAAGTGAGCTACAAATTTTCAAAAGTTTGGCCTTGCACTAAAATTTGTTGGCTACCAAGTTCCTTCTCATGTTTTGCAAGGAAACAGACTGACAGGAGGCACTGACAACAATGCTTTATTCTGCAATTCACTTCTATAAGATCAGATGATGGACACTTGATTGTTTGGGAGTGGGGGTTAAATACCGCCGGCCGTACGAAGCCAAAACACATGAAACGGGAGATCAAATGGCAGAGCGCGCTGAGCGGCTGCAGATTCTTTCATTGGAGGTCGCCTGGTCCATCCACAGCCATTTGTTATGACTTTACAAAGAACCCTCGTCTTGCTCTGCTGCATACAAGAAAAACAGGAAAGCTGCTGCCTTGGTGCCCTCCGTGGGGACCTTCTGGCCAGTGCCTACCGATGAGTCCTGCCCTCTAGGCAGCCCCCCAGACGCAAGAAAAGCCTCCTCCAGAATCACCCAGGGCTTAGCGTGTGAAATACTCCACACTGAGATGTTGGGACAGGACGAGATTCAGCCGTGGCCAATCTGCCAAACTCCAGCCCACGGCCTGGCAGCCCAAACTGCACCCACACTCTGGCCTAGCGTGCGGGTGCAGGAAAAACTGCACATCCTTTGCTGGAAAAGAGATTTGCCCTCCTCCTCCCCCGCTCCGAGGGGACCCAGCCTGGAGAGGGCTTTGCCAGAGGATTTGGTGGAACAATCAGGAAGGCAGCCATACAAAATGCTCCTCCTGGGAGTAGTAAAATCTGTACAGTGTGTGATCACCTTCTGCTAGAAGCAGCCTATAATACGGTCCCATGTGCCCCCTCCGACTTCCACCCTCCTGGCTGAGGAGAGAAAGTGGGGCAGGGGGCCTAGAAAGTACAGGGCCAACCAGGAGATGGGATTACAGCAAAAACAAAGGCTTTAGGAAAGACTTTGAAAAAAACGGATCAGAGGTAATTTTTTTCCCAGGCTTTTGGCATCAAAGAGGTTTTGTCTGTCTCCGTTTCCCTTCCTCCTTTCCAAGCCCATCCGTGGGCTTGGAGCAGGAGGCAAAAAGGGGTCTCTGCGCAGCAAGCCCTTTAGCCAGCAAAGCCTTTGCAACAGAGGCCTACGGTCTCCTCCTCTTCTCGGGCCACTCTAGGTCTTTCTGGCTCTTCCAGGACTCGAGCTGCTTTCTCAGTACATCGGAGGACACAGTGCTCTGAAGACAGGCATGTGCCAGCCAGCCCTACGCTTGAAGCCAAAAGCTTCCTTGATGTTTGGCCTAAGTTATTTGGAAGAGAACCAGGACGCACGGTGCCAGGCTCTTCTCTGCTCCACAGATCAACAACCGTCTCTCTGCTAATGTCTCCCCAAAGTGTCCTTCCAGGCTTGGCCAATTATCTCTCCATACTTGTTGGTGTTAGTCTTCTGGTCTAGAAGGCTGCCTTCACATACCAGGGTGCGTGA